GATGAGCTCGACTCCATTGCAACCCAGGTTAGCCATCATTGCCATCAAACCTGTGCCATTTCTTTATTGTATGTTCTACACTAAATCATTTTTCCACTACTATATCAGAGAGGCAGCAGTGTCGGTGATGCAGGAGGTGCGGCTGATAGGGTTCTCAATCAGCTGCTGACAGAGATGGATGGCATGAACGCAAAGAAAACCGTCTTTATTATCGGGGCAACCAACAGGCCTGACATCATAGATCCTGCTTTACTTCGCCCAGGCCGTCTGGACCAATTGATTTATATTCCTTTACCAGACGAGGCCTCTCGTCACCAAATATTCAAAGCTTGCCTGAGAAAGTCTCCTGTATCGAAAGATGTTGACCTGAGGGCTCTTGCCAAGTACACTCAAGGATTTAGTGGTGCCGATATTACAGAAATTTGCCAACGTGCATGCAAGTATGCCATTAGAGAAAACATTGAAAAGGTAGGCTTCTGCGCATCATCATTTGTCTCTTCTTTTCCTTTGGTTCAATATAATATACCTTGAGCATTTTAGATATTTCTGGGACTGTATTTTAAAGTAGTTTAACTGCAATAATAGTTCTTTTCGGTAGGCTCCTGGAAAATCTGCATGGCTGCCTGAATGTATCGGGCATTGACTTTTTCCTCTTTTTTTGAGGAAGTATTGGATATCCACTTGATAATTCAATAGTTTACTAAGTCATACGTCTCAGAAATATTACCATTTTCATCTTATTATTCTGTCTCTGATGCTAAGTAATATATACATTTATTTTGTTGCATATGTGATCTCATTAGTCAAGATGCAAATTGTGCATGTTATACAAGAAAGATAAACCTGTGTCTTGATATCATTTATCTACGTTCGCCTTATAGTTCTTATTAGCTCCTTAAGTCTTGTTAAATAACTCTTGTTACACTACAGAGGCCCACCTCCAGCACTTTGACAGCATGAATATCAACTATCTTCATCATATTATAATTGCTTGCGGATGCTACAAAATTTTCTAAATTGATTAGGCCAAACTCTCAGGCTTAAAATGGCTTTCTCTATCCTAACATGCAGGATATTGAAAGAGAGAGGAAGAAGAGTGAAAATCCTGAGGCGATGGAGGAAGACGAGGCTGATGAAGTAGCAGAGATCAAGGCTACTCATTTTGAGGAATCGATGAAGTTTGCCCGCAGGAGTGTGAGTGACGCAGACATTCGCAAGTACCAGGCATTTGCACAGACGTTGCAGCAGTCGAGGGGGTTCGGAAGCGAGTTCCGCTTTTCTGAGCGTTCCGAAGCTGCAGGTGGCGCCACAGGATCAGACCCTTTTGCAACGTCAGCTGCTGCTGCCGACGATGATGATTTGTATTCTTAAATTTTTCTTTGTCTTGGTGAAACATTCACTCACAGCCCGCATAGCTTATGCCATTTCGGACTCTGCAAAATGGCCTTTGTGGTTCTCGATAGAATTGAGGACACGTGGATTCGTTCTATCCAACATGTCACGTTGAATTAAACCATGGGGTTCTGTGCGCCAATTTGTTTCCTTTATATCGAAGGTAACTTTTTCACGCTTTTTTATTGTCTGGAATTATGAACTGAGATATCCCTCACTGTTTGTGTATATGGATGCTGATGCTACTTTATATTTTTAAAGAACATATCAACTTATGGATTCGAATACACACTATTCTTTTCCTGATGCAACCTGCCAAACCACTTATATTAATCTAAGGTTGGCACTTCGACTCGCTCTTAGTTGCAGCAGAGTGTCGGATATGAGAGCCGGCAAAGAGTGGTACCAACCCCAGCATTGCATGATTACCCACCAACACAAATAGCGCATTCCGTCGTGTTGTGCCATTCAATAATAGTGCATTCGACAAGCTAACTGGGAGACACGAAGGCCCGCCCTGGGCAAGTGCATGAACCTATGCCCACATTCATATCGATAGCAAGCTTATCGTCAGCGCCAACTTCCACTCTACCGTCCATATAATGCTACACCCTTGTCGCTGCAACGCATTTGAGAGAGAGAGAGGTTGTTGAAGAGGGGATCCACAAGGGAGCAGCGAATTCACGAGTGATGTGAGAGTCGCCGGTCACGCTGCGACGCCCTGTCCTTCCCCGTTAAGTTTGTATCGCAGGAAGGAGTGACAAGGAGAAACCTTGTGACAGGTCGCCTAAACGCCATTATTCGGGACCTGTACTGTATCGCATCCCCCCACCCCACACGTGCACTGCGGCCCATTCATATTTTATGCCCCTCTTAATGCACGAAATGTCCCACGTCCTGCCCACACCTTTTGACTTTGGCGAAAGAGAGCGATCGAACGTTACTTCCACTTCCGTTCTCGTCGTGTTTTCATGCGACTGCTTCATGGCCGTACTCCGCTGTGACTCGGTGATGGTAGTAAACCTATGCGAATGGGTTTCACAGCTGCAGCCATCATCACATGACCCAGGCGATTGTTCCACTGCTTGGGAGTATTAGTCGTCGATGAATCGACCCAACGTACCTGAGGAGATAAATATAGCTAGCTCATCTCCAGATATTTAGGTGCACGCAATGGGCCAAGAGTGCTCCCACTCTCTGTTCATGACCGAAGCCTCTTTACTTACCCCTCGTCATCAAAACCTGCTACCGATGATCACAGTCATGGTCCCATAATCGGACAGAATTCAGAAGGTGTGTAGGTTCCTACATTGTAGCAAACCTCGACCTGACTGATCCTTAGGATTCGTGTGCCATCTCTGCTCCACTCAGCCGTCATTTGCAAATGGCACTTGATGTTTCCGCCCTGTACTATGAAAAGAACAGGTACCAGTGCTCTTCGCATAATACATTTGCAAGTTAAACTGCCTACTAACCACGCATCCGTATCTCACAAACAACTCCCGTGTTCTCATGTCAATTATTTGATGCTGACTCAATTATATTAGCCAAAACCCATCAGCCCCCTCATAGTGTTTTGATCATTTTGGTCACAAGGTTTTCCCTTTTGTATTAGATATATTTCTCCGAGCTTAATTGTCATCGGTGACAGTTTGGATCGACTCGACTTGGTTCAGACCCTTATGCACAAGAAGCCTTTAGGTGCATGCGAGAGACATGGTATTTTCAACATTACATGATTCTTACGATGCTCAAGTTCAGTAACAAACGATGATCGACTTTGATTATCGTGATCTAGTAGACCTTTTATAATCGACACAATCGAAAGAAATATTTTATGATATAAATATAATATTTTAAAAATATTTTATATTAGATTAATATCCATATGATATGATTATTAACGGAGTTTTTAGTCTTTTTATGCTGATTGAGATGAATATTTTCTCTATCAATTGTCCTGTACTTTCTGATCATTCAAGATGCAAGATGTATCAAAATAGTGAAACACAGTTCAGGTAATAATGGTCTATTTTTACTATTAGGACTAAATAATTGCTCACTGTTTATTCCATTCCAGTTGTCCTGATAACTGCAGTTGCTATTATTGTACTAAATCGTACAAACAACGAGCAACTCACAATAAAGCCTTCGATAAGACTGTGTGACCAACAATGAGATTCCCGAGCATCCTTCCACGAGTTACGATCTAAGAATTCATGATAACATCTTGCAACCAAAGAACCTGAAAGCATTTCATTATCCACATGATGAGTACATGATGTTCTACCAAATAGCTCTTTCCTTAGCTTCACTTGAACTGTAATCCATGTTTAAATAGATTGAAGAACGACAGGGAGTAGATGATAATCCATACCTTCACCAGCAGGCAACGAGCGAGAGATCATTTGAATGGTACAGCAATTCCACATTACACCCATTCGGATGATCATTGGGCTGTCAAAACTATAAGGCGAGAGATCAATTACATTTATCCTTCACGGTGAAGGGAGGCTCGACCGCAGATGTTCTTCGAACCAAGTAATGATACTACAAGAAATCTTCTCTTTTCGATAGGATCTATCGTTTCTGGAGTCAGAGATAGCAGAATTAGAACACAGAGATGCACGAGTACACAGGAAAAGAAGTGATGATGAAGAAAGTAAGCTGCAGGCCGAATCAAGAAGCAAAGATAGAAGAAGCTCGTCTTTGGAACGACCTACGAAACACTACCAGTAAACAACATCTGCACCATCAATCGCTTGATCATGTTGCATGGTTATGCACAAGTTGCATGGCCTCATGGACTACATTTCCTGGAACTAAAGTTTTTCTACATACGAAGCACATGCGTAGTACTACTGCGTATACACATGTATACTCCTCCTCACGGTGGTGTCAAAGATCGCCGCTGTCTCTCCAGCAAACCAACATCACGATGCATCGCCGGAGTATGTAGAAGCGAGCCCTCTGTTCCCTCACCAGCGATCGACACCGGCGGCAGAACGATGGGCATGGCAAGCTCTTCTCCTCGCTCTTCGACGTCGCCATGTCCTTCGCTTTCATCGGCTTACAGGGGAGTAGGAAGGGAGCTGACTGAAAGAGAACAGAGATGCTGGTGGTTCTTTATAGCTTCTGCGTGTGGGTCTGAGATCCCTCATGGATCAAATGACTTGAGACCTCCGTTTCCACCACCTTGTCAGTGATGGTGGCAGTACCTCTGCACCTGGAGACAGTAGCCGGTACTCGTGGGTCCCAGACACCAGGCTGCGGGCCCACATGATTCTATTGGCTGTGGTGGTTGTGATATGGGCCTGTGTAGGAGCCCAGATATATGGATGGATTCCTTTGACATGGAGAAACAGGTGATTCCACCCTAAACCCTCAACCTGAACCAATCTAATAAGAGAGACAAGCAAAACCTTTTCACTTGCAGACCTGCAAACTCTGCACGTTGCTTGGAAAGCTTTACTTGATTTGAATGATATAATAAAATACTTTAAAAGTTGTACAAGGAAGAAAATAAAATCCAAAAAAAGAACCAATTAACTACAGATTATACAGAGCTGCATCTCAAACCCAAGGAGTTGAAAGGAGAATCAAATCAATTTGAGAAAAGCAATTGCGGAATGGGATTTTTTTGCTTGTGAATTTGTCAAAGCTTTCCTAAATATTAAAGTAATCAACAAATGAGATACAAGTGGTCAATTGTCAACTTCACCTTCTCTGAACTGGCTTATAAAGCACAACTGTGACATATTTCGATCTGAAACGGTGGGTGATTCCAAGCGCTACAACAGAACTTGGGCCATCTTGATTCTCTATGTAGAGGTGATTAAGAATCACATTTTGAGGCGCTATGAGACTACCTGGATCGTCTTGACTGTGTGAATAGTTCAGCAAGGTATGGTGCAGATGAGGAGGGACGAGTGGAGGTTCTCGAGCTTCATCTTCATTTCCTGGTATGGGGTTGCTGTAGCTTGAATCAGGTGATCTTGGAACTTCAAAACCGACAACACTGACTCCTTCCTGCACCATAATTTTTTTTTTCCTTTTTCAAAGGCAGAACAGGCTGTGATCAAAAAGTGATCAAGTAAAAAGAATAACACTTACATGATCATCTCCATTTGGACAATCCATGATTTAGAAAAACTGGCTTAATGAGCCTGTATGGAAATTGAATCACCATGCTTATCAAGGTAAACAATAATCATTGATAAACTATAAGGTGCACCCAAAATAATTAAATCTCAAAAAAAATGAAATAAGCATCTGGATATATATGACAAATCTCAAAGAGATAATATATCTAAAAGAAAGAAGAAACATTAATCTAGTTGTTGCCAACTAAGCATTATTTGATACCAGTTAGCATCTAATCATAATGTTCAGCTTTTAAATAAGACTAACCTCATCTACGGGAGCCCAAGATCAAGAGAGATAAAACCATAGCTACGGACCAAAATAAACAAACAGAAGCCAACAGGTCTTTGGCACTATGGGTGGGATGCATGCATAATGTTTCAAAAGCATCATCAACAAAGCCTTCCTCAATCAAAATTGATTCAATTGGGCCTTCATACAGTAAATCAAGTCTCTAGAGCCAAAACAATTGTCCAGGAACACCAGCTATGGCAAATTTACATGCAGGCATTGCCTAAAATAAGTGAGTAACTTCGTAAAAGCAATGTAATACATGTAGTAACTTGTCAAAGTATAACCTTTAAACGACAACCAATTATTCGTGATCCCCCTAGACTCCCAAGAGTTCAAACAAATGAGGGAAGAGAATAAGGTCCTTGAAATGATTCATCTGCTCAATCAAATACGCAAAACATAAACTAAAAAATAGTCGAGTGATATCCAATAAACCAGAATGTTCAAAAACAACTTAAACCAACCACATCCAAAAAGCAATTCAAAGTAACAAAAAAGGGATGGGTATCACCAATAATAATATTCGCTATTATTGCCCTATGAAATTTGCAACAACTTGGCAAGGATAGGACAACAGCCACTACAGAGTGCTCCATTCTTAACATAAATTGATAATAAACAGATTATAAAATATGTATTTTAGTAGCGTCTGGTCCTAAACTACGTAAAGAACAGTATGGAAAAAGAAACATTTTTTTCTTAAAAAAATGAACGAATAATCTCTGGTTGGATAAAATAGGCACGCGATATCAGACAAACCAATCACAAATCAGCTAGCAGAAAGAACAGGAAACGAAAGTAAAGCAATCAAACAAACATGATGCGTGCATGGAGAGAAAATAATTAAGACAGCTATCTAAACGCCTAAACGCAACAGGAACCTCCATCGAAATCTGTCCTCCATCTGGATGGATGGAGGCATACTATCGATAGAGAAGATATCTCAAAACGAAGAAGAACAGGGAGGAAGAGCGGATACCGGCGCTGCGTGGCCGGGGGCGGGCGATAACGTCGGATTCTTTACCGCTGCCGGTGGTTGGGGCCTTCAGCGTCCGGCGACGGGTGATGGCTGAGGAAGAATGCCGGATCCTCGCTCTTTTTTCCTTTCTCCCCTCGTAGATTAGGGCACCGACGGCGCAGGTATCGAAGCAATCGCACCGCTATCTCGGGTTCAAAACAAAATAAACCGCAATATACCTTATCGGTGCGTGATATCCTGTCCCCGTATCCAGCAGTATCTCTACGTATGCGTCTACGTGTCACTATGGCTCGACCCGGCCCATCTACATTGCAAGAAAACCCGCCTTGGTTCGGCCCGGCCCATCAATATCCCATTCATTCTTATATACCTAACACATATGTAAACTTTCAAATTATGACATACCATCACAAGACCTAACACATAGAAATATGAATCAACTACATTAGTGGGAGCATTATGATCTCAACATATCACATGAAATTTGGATTAGGACTCAAGAGGTGGTATGGCCAATTATGTGACAACATCAATTACTGTATCGATGTCATATTTGTCGTCATCTAGACTCGAGACCACGTGAGATATTCTTGATGAAATATAACGCATATACTAATTGAGACTTAATTACATTTAATGTAGGACTAATTTGACTGAGAGATTACCACGACGTGTACAAATCCAATATATTATTCATGGATTCTTTCTCTTGGGGTACATCAAATTTGGCCGGCCTACACTACATTAGATTTCAGAGAACCTGTGATTGGACTCGGTTATTCCTGCATCAGATATCGTTGTTCCTCGAGGAGAGTCAACACGGCCAAGTTTGACCCGGCGGAGAAGCCGGAGATTGCAAGCGGATCTTCTAAGTATGCCTCCACTGCTTGCAGAAACTCCAAAGAGCACAATGCATCTTGTCTCCATAGTTTAAGTTGGCTTTGAGTGCCTTTTCTCGAGCATAATATATCTTTAGATTATTCGTGTCATGCATGTGACAGTCGAGTGCATGTATACTGCATATTATTAGCTCGGAGAAAGGAGTCATCGAAGGACTGATAAATCTTTTAGTTCTATTGGTCACTCTCGGTTGATCTATTGAGAGAATCTCGAGCAGATTTAGTCAATATATTAACTGGCTTAGACTGCTTAGAGCTAAAAAGATAGGCTAATAGGTGTCATTATTTTTTGTGATATGATTCTGCATGATGATCTTTGTTTCAAATTTCCACAAGTTGTCAATCACTTTACGTTGTGGGCAACTATTGGATCAGAAGGATTAAATGGTTCCGATTGTTTATGTTCATTTGCTAGCGAGTTTGGTGTGATTCCAAGTATATAGTCAATGTCTTCAGTACTGAAATCAAATGATATGTGGAACGCGACACTCCCAATACTTTACATAGCTGTCAAAGTATCACCGAAACCATTGAATTTAGACACAACGAAGGATTTCTTCTGACGGTGGATTCATCTGTTGTAGTTGTCTCCTCAGCAGTAGGGGGAAGAACAACTCTGCCACAAGCCAATGGTAATTGGTTTCAGCGATTGAATGGCCAAGTCAAGAATGTCCGTGCTTGGCTTGTGAGACCATTTGACCGAGAAGTCTTTTTCCAGGTGAAATAAAGTTGGGGGAGGTGGAGGGAGGTGCAGGTGGAGGCAGATCATTAGAGAAAAATCTTGGTCTTAGATATGCATGATCCATGAACGCAAACGTGATGGAAACGGGCAACCATGGAGATATCGTATTAGGATACGAGGCAAGCATGCATGTCCCAGTAACAACATAAGATCTCTCTAGCTCTTTAGGGAGTTGTATTCTTCTTAAGATGGAAGTTCTCGTGATCTCACAACAGAAAGAAGGCGTTCTTCTTGATATATTTGATGTAGGCTTTTGTTTTCATGATGTCGATTTCCATTCCCGTAATGCAAGAGAGAGAAGGAGGGAGATCATAAGGCAGTGGAAGGGGGGATTTGGGTGGCATCTCCAGACCATTGACTGGCTGTCGAGGTTGGGCCCGCGACCGTATTATCATGGCTCGGTGCCCCACGTCAGCTTAGGTCATGTTTATGGTGGTGGGGAACTACGTACGATCTTTGAGAGAGCTTTTATCTGCTTGCTTGCTGCTGCTGCTCCTCGTCCTCGACCTCCTCCTCTTCCTTGTTCCTCTTGTGCTGCTTTGTGTTCTTTCTTTGGGATCGATCTGATCCAAACTTGAGAGATGATCCTCTTTCTCTCTCGTGGGTAGCTTCTATCTATCTTGCAGTTTCTTCTTCTTTCCTTCGATCGGCGATGTGGGATGTGATTCACACAGTCGATGTTTGCCGGTGTAGCACCATCAAGATTCACATGTACTGAGTTATAGCTCTCTGCTGCAAATGGGAATCTTGATGATGCTGCATTGGCAATAAGCGACTATGATCGATGAAGCAGCTGCTGTCACTGCCCACTCGGTATGTTCGCCTCCCCTTTTATGCTCCTTCAGCTCATGTCTTCTTAATTAGTGCTGCAATCGCACAACAATTTCAGCTTTTCTTGTTATCTGTTTGCTAAGAGAGATTTATGGTGGAAAGTGTTGTGTATTTAATACCGGTGAGGGGTTCTCTCCGTCTGAAAGAACTCGAGCCAGTAGGTTCATCAGGTTGCAGCACAGGTGAGAGTGTGTAATGTCACCGAGACGAAGGTCTTTGATCCACAATGCTGATGCACACTGCATCTTTCGCCGGAAAGATGAAGCACTTGCATGGACTACATCCCAGCTGCAAGTTGTGCTGCAAGTTGTGCTGCTTGATGTTTATGATTCCCATCCCACCCTCTGGATTCTCTTGATGGCATGGAATGATTTGATTGAAAGTTAGTAGATGGAGGAAAGGAGAGTTCTTTGTCGGAGGAAGTAAATCTACTGAGAAGCCCACCTTCCTTACGAATCAAACACGGCAGTCATCCCTGTCTCAGTCGTGCGTTTGCAGATGGGATGATGAATCGGAAGCCAAAAGTATTGGGCTTAATAGCTCCTGTCCTGCTTATTGAGCTGTGATCCTCTCTCTCTCTCTCTCTCTCTCTCTCTCTCTCTCTCTCTGTGATAGGCAACTATTAGAGTAATGATAGAAAAGAATGATGAATCATCATGAAGCGAATATTCCATATAGAAAAGCGATAATAAGAAACCAATTAACTTTCATCAAAATGAAAGGCCAGCAGAATGGTATCCTAAAAATCGGGATAATATAAACAAAATAAACAATAATAAGGGTGGAGATATGTAAGACCAAACATAATTATTATGTCTGCTCCAAACGTAAAGAAAATGTAAGCCCCTTAACTTTCTTTGGTTAGCTATCTATCACGAATATAATTTTGGGATATATTTTAAGAATGGAGATATGTAAGACCAAACATAATTATTATCAATAAATAATACGACAGAAAGCAAAAAGAAATAGCGACTTTATTACAGAAAGTCAAACAACAGCCAATTCGAGCAAAAAGTCAAACAAAAATCTTATTGTAGAAAGACCCAAAAAAAAGGGGGGAAAAACTTTCAAGTACTTGAAAGTTCGTCTGTCGCCACGGCCTCCACCTCCTCGGCACCACCACCACCACCTGGTTCTTCCTCGACATCGCCTTCTACACCCAGAACCTGTTCCAGAAGGACATCTTCAGCGCCATCGGGTGGATACCGAAGGCCGCCACCATGAACGCCATCGAGAAGGTGTTCTGGATCGCCCGGGCGCAGACCCGCATCGTGCTCTGCGGCACCGTGCCGGGCTAATGGTTCACCGTGGCCTTCATCGACGTCATCGGGCAGTTTTGGATCCAGGTCATGGGATTTTTCATGATGACCGCCTTCATGCTCGAGCTCGCCATCCCCTACGACCACTGGACCACCCACCACATCAGCTTCGTCGTCATGCACGACTTCACCTTCTTCTTCGCCAACTTCGGGCCCAACAGCACCACCTTCATCGTTCCAGCTGAGATCTTCACGGCGCGGCTGCGGTCCACATGCCACGGCATCTCGGTGGCCGCGTGCAAGGCGGGGGCCATCGTAGGTGCCTTCGGGTTCCTCTACGCGGCGCAGAGCAGGGACCCAGCAAAGAGGGATAAGGGCTATCTGGCCGGCATCGGGGTCCGGAACGCCCTCTTCCTCGTCGTCTCGACCAACTTCCTGGGCCTGGTGTTCTCGCTCCTCGTTCCCAAGTCGAAGGAGTTCCCTCTGGAGGAGATGTCCAGTCGTGAAGTGAGTAAAAGATTGCATAAAATGTAATTAATAATAAAGCATTATTAGTCCAAGATGAAATCAAATAAAAAAACGTGAAATCAATATAAAGTAAAAAAATATTAAAACTTCTTAAAAAAATGTTTACACATGATTGGAAACTACTTTTGGGCTTAACCTTACAAACCTAAACATTTAGACTTGGATCACATTATATATTTTGATGTCATTTATTTATTAGTGTAAAATAAAATTTTAAATTAAGAGATATTTATTTTAAAAATTTTATCTAATTAATTTTTTTTTAAAATAAAAGATAATAATATAAAATCTTCGAAAAGATATACTTTAAGTCTTAACACTCTTCTTTAAAATATAATATGGAGATAAGTCCTAACTTGGAAGACTTTTTAAATGATCAAGATAGATTTGGTAAACATTATCTTTACTCTTTTTTTGGGGGGTGGGGGGGATAATATTAATGGTTCTTGCATGATTAATTAGATTTATAGCCAACTTTAAGATGCTTTGATTATTTCACTTTAAAATAATTAGTTTATTAATTTGATAGAGTTTAAGTAAGACCCATTTGATTTATGTGAGGATCAGTTCGAAGGGAAGCTACATATGATTTTTCAAGTATAGTTCTTGTTGTTGGCAAGGAAAGATAAAGCTCTAACAAAAATTTACACATTCAAAGTGATCCATCAAAATGTTACTTGTGTGCCTTGCTATATTGACAGTTTTCATAAACTTTATTACTACTAAAAGTAATAAGATTTGGAAGATCATTAATTAGAGTTTTCTATATCATAATCTTTAATTTGAAAAAATTTATATGACTAACTCTAGATTGATGCACTGTACTCATCCAATCAACATAAGAGTTATATACTAACAAAATATATAAATCTTTATCCCTTTTACTAGTATATACCATATTTATTTTTAATTCTTTTATGTTGCAAAGAAACTTGATTTTATTAGGATAAAAAAAAAAGAATTTTTAATATCAACTGTATTTGTAATAGAAAAAAAGTTTTTCTTCGTACCTAGTAGAATATGGTATACACTCTTTATACCTAAAAAGATTATGATAATAGTTTTCTTCTTCATGAAATATCATAATTATATCATTTCTTCCTTATTAACAAAGATAGGTGAATTTTAGCTATAAAATACTTATCACAATCTTTATCAATAGCATTGGAACAATTCTTTTTATTTACAATATTTTTTCTTTAATTTTAACATAATAATTTTTCTTGATATGACCTAATTTGCTCCCCTTATAACACTTAATCTTTTTTTTATTTATACTATTAGCATAACTATTAGTATTGTCCTTCTTATCTTTATCATTTTTTGTAAAAAATGATATCTTTATAGGATTTTAAAGCAGAAACTCCTTGATAAGGATTATTGAGAATTAAGAAGATTTTCCAACTCTACTAACAATGATTATTGAATCAATATATATAACATAAGAAATATATTCTTTTTAATATCATGAATAATATAATATTTTATTCGTGTATCAAGAATATATTCATTTGGATCTAACAGTGATATATATATATATATATATATATATATATATATATATATATATATATATATATATATATATATATATATATATATATATATATATATATATATATATATTATTATATTTTTATTCCTCGAGAGATATATATATATATAT